TGGCCATTACAAAATTATATATATAGAATTACTCTCTTATAAAGACAATATGAGACTTTAAATTTAAGACATTATGGTTAATATTACAGTTGTACAAAATTTTAGAGCCTGTTTAATGTAGAATATAAACACAATTTTTCGTTTTTGAAAATAAGGATATAACAAAACTTATGAAAATACGTTTTGTACAAATTTTGAAAAACAGTTTTCAAATACAGTCCTAAAAACTAATGTAAAACTAGAAAAGTATTAAAAGGATTTTTTCACAATTTTCTATAGCATTTAATCTAAAAAAAAATTTTAAATTTTGTATCAGACACGTTTTCAAATATTAAAAATATTTAAATGCATTTAAATGTGTAAAGTAATTAATTACAAAAATTACTAATCGAGATGTTTCATGATGAACTAACTAATCGAGCATTATTCCAGTTTCAAACTAGCCGTCTATCTTCATGTCGTTTTCAGGTCACCAATGTTTGGCAGCAAATGGCAAACGTATCGTAATATATTAGAAGAAAAACTCATTACTCAAAAAGTCTCAACCCTTTACTTATAAATACAAATAGTTAATGAGCTTGTAGTGTATCTCCTTCAACTTCCAAGAAAAGAAAATGGAAATGGTTCACGCAATATTTGAAGACCTTGATATTGTAATTGTTGGTGGAGGCATTTGTGGCCTTGCCACTGCCCTTGCTCTTCATAGGTACTTATTTCTGTTCTTATTTTCCTAACATGTGTAATTGTTACACATGTTAAGTGGGGCTAAATAGTTTGTCTTTTTGTCTTGACACTTAATGTTGTAGGAAGGGTATGAAGAGTGTGGTGTTGGAGAAATCAGAAACATTGAGAGCATCAGGGGGTGCCATTGCAATTCAGCCTAATGGGTGGAGAGCTTTGGATGAACTTGGTGTTGCTTCAAAGCTCAGGTCTAATGGCATCCGCCTTGAAAGGTATGCTTCGCAGTATTCATTACACGACAAAAGCTACCCCTCTGCTTTCTCGATTTCATTCTAGGATTGACATAGCTATATCCTCATCTCTATTGATTATTGTAAATACACAGGATACATGAAATATATCTCAATGGCGGCAAGCCAAAAGAAAAATTTGTTGACTACTCGTAAGTTTTAATTTATCATTACCATGCCTTTAATTAATGTTTGATTATAAAGTTTTTATAAGAAAATGAAACTTAATCAATTGATCATATAATTTTAATATTAATTGGCAGGAACATTGGGGAAATTCGTTGGGTAAAAAGAAGTGATCTAATTGAATCTCTAGCTCAAGATCTCCCTCTTGGTACGGTACAAGTTGGATGCCAAATTTTCTCTGTGAAAATAGACGCAAACACTTCTTTCCCCACTCTTCAATTGAATGATGGCACGATAATTAGAGCCAAGGTATTTTATATTCTTCAATAATATAATATGTTTCTGTTCTATATATGATACTGGCATAATGCATACCGACAACTAGTTAAATATAATTTAATATAATAATCATTCTCAAGGTCTATATCACAAAATTTTGCCTTCTAAGTTAACCATTGCTGATAAATAACGTACCAGATTGTTGTTAATATATTTACGAATTAATAAAATTTTGCCTTCAAACTTTAACCATTGCTAATAAATAACGTACCAGATTGTTGTTAATATATTTACGAATTAATAAAATTTTGCCTTCTAACGTTAACCATTGCTAATAAATAACGTACCAGATTGTTGTTAATATATTTACGAATTAATAAAATATTTATCCAGTTGTTTTCGGACGGTCTATTTTAATGTTTAAAACTTATAAGTAGGGAAATTTTTATTATTTCAGAAACCTTAATAATCTAATTAGGGTTATTTGACTGCAGATGTTGATTGGATGTGACGGAGCCAACTCTGTGGTTGCTGATTTTCTTGAGTTGAATCCCAAGAAGCTTCACCCTTCAAGTGGAGTGAGAGGCTTTACATATTTTCCAAATGGCCATGGATTTGCCCCTGAGTTACTCCGAACTATTAGAGACAAAACTACAGCTGGGGTAGCTCCGGTCAATGATAATCTGCTTTTCTGGTTCGTAAATCACCAATACAATTATCAGGGTATGTACTTATATATGACTTTAATTAAGCTTTTAAATATCGGTTTATTTAATGATAAATGTATACCTTTTAATAAAAAATTATGTAGTATGGGTCTTTTTTTCTCTCCATTTTTATTATTGGATTGAAGATCAAGTAAAGTAGAAATCCGACAAATTTTACAGAGAATAGTGGTAAATAGGAAATTTTTTCATTTATTATATAAGCTTATTTCATTAACTTTCTCAATCGTTAATGTCTTGTTAACTACAGATTCAAAGATGGTCGAAGATCCAAAGATGATCAAACAAATGGTTCTAGAGACCATCAAGGGTTTCCCTCAAAAAACGATAGATGTGATACAAAACTGTGACATTTCTTCCCCATCATTCAACCGTTTGAGGTACCGTGCCCCATGGGACATATTGCTAGGCCAGTATCGGAGAGGAACTGTGACAGTGGCTGGAGATTCGATGCATGCAATGACTCCGTTTGTCGGCCAGGGTGGCTCAGCCAGCATAGAAGATGCAGTTGTGCTGGCTAGATGCATGGCAAGAAAATTTCAAGCCAATTATAATAATGATCATAAAGATTTCAAAAGAAAGAAGATGATTGAAGAAGCAATTGATGAATATGTGAATGAGAGGAGAATGAGACTGGTTAAATTGGCTTTACAATCTTACCTTTTAGGTACATTAGTGGATACTCCATATATGCTTGTGAAGTTGATAATGTTGGCGCTTTTGAGTGCCTTTTTTAGGGACAAATATGCTCATGTTCGGTATAATTGTGGTAATCTGTGAGGACTTGTTGCTTCAAGAGCCAGCTAGCTAGCATAGCTTCAATGGTTGCACTTTATAGTAATTATTTGTAATAAATCACAACGTTGGTTACAATGTTGTGAAGATATTGGTATCTTTTTTGTAACTCCATTATTGATTATAATATTGTGAGGATACTAGCTGGTTTTATTTTTATAAGTTTTTTGTTAAATATTTTAAGTCTATTATTGAGTTTCAGTAAAATTAGTGATAATTAATATTTATAAAGCTATCATAGTTGTAACAATTAAGGTGTTAAAACATTTTCTAATAACGGTCGGTGAAAGTCTATCTCTATCATTTCAGAATCATAAGGATAGATAGTAACATCAGATAATAAACTTATGAAAAACAACATTGAAAGACATTAATATCTTTTAAGAACAACACATAAATGGGCTAAATGTGAATCCCGTGTTTGTACATTCACCTCCTTATGGATATCTACATGATCAAGAGTCATTATTCTCAATTTTTAAAAAAGGAAAATAATAAAGACACCTGGAGTAATGCACTGAATGACATGATATAATCCTGACCGTCGATTAAACTAAATATTAATCGACGATCAGGATTGTGTCACATCATTTAATGCACAAATTTGATATACTACTCCCAATGACTGTAACATTACTTTTTAAGAAATTGTAAGGTTCAACTAGAACTCCAATTTTGAACTTAAATTCCTAAAAGGATATGCATATTTTTGGGTTATAAAATAATACATGGCCTTTGACAACTCAACCTTTGAGATTTGTTCTCATGAAAAATATGTGTATTGAATTGACACTTTAGTCCTTGAGATTTGGTTAAACTTAAGGTGTAAACGAGCCGAGATAAAGCTAAGCTTGAGGTTATTTGAGCTTGGCTTAGTTGCTACAGTGTAGAACTTGAGCTTGGCTAGCTTGAAAAATCAAGCTCAAGCTCGAGCTCGAGCTCCGAAAATGTGCTCCCTAATAGTTTCGAAACTATCAAATATACCCTTATATTCTCTCTTTTTTAAAGTTTTTAAAAAGGCATTTTACGCTATTCCAACTTTGAAAAGAACGTCCTAGCTTTTTGTCCTAGCTAACTGTATTATTTTCCTTTTTTTTCTATTTCTCCATCTTTTCTAGTTTCTCCTTTTCTCTTTATCCTCTGGTTCTCTTTCTTCTTCCTTCTTCATCTTATTTTTTCTTTCTTCTTCTCTTTCTCCTGTTCTATATATATTTTTTCTCTTTCTTCCTTTTTTCTCTTCTATTAATTTCTTTATCTTCCTTTCTCTTTCTTTTTCTCTCTCTTCTCCTTTCTTTCTACCCTCCTTGGCTTGGACAACTGTTATGAGATGGAGCTTACCGGCGACTTGTTTTGGCCGTCCCAAGTTGGTACCAAACTTTTCCAAAGAGGTTATACAGTAATAACAAAGAAAACCATTAATTCAAGCAATTACTTTCCAAAGTAACTGGACCTATGACATTGGAGAACACCGTGCCACCGGTACACAAACAAGATCATGAGCTCTAAGAGCGGTCAATCCTGGTCGTTCAGACATATCAACAAAATCATTACCCTTCATTTCCACTCCTTCAGGATTCACAACCTTCCAGTTGAAGCACTGGATCATCGCCGCCAGCGTCGTCGGTAACTCTTGCATGGCCAAATTGATTCCAGGGCACCCTCTTCTTCCAGTTCCGAATGGCAACAACTGATAGTTGAACCCTTTAACATTGTTGATCAAACTGATTGTTCAATAAGGAAATCTAAGTTTAAAATAATCCAACACATTCACAGCAAAAAAAAGATATAGCGAAAATAAGAGCATAAACAATAAAGAGCATACACACAGATTTATAGTGGTTCGGTAATCAGATTGATTACCTACATCCACTCTTCAGAGCAGTAAGAAAAAAATACACTATGAAGAGAAATCTTACAGAGTTTGTGAGTCAGATTTACACCAAGAACCCAGTATCAACTCCCCTCTGTAAACCACCCTAGATTGCTCCCATGTGTCTCACACCTCTCACACACACACAAAAATACATAGAATAAATCAGAATTTATACAAGAGGAAAAAGAATAAAAATCAGTTACAAANGACATTTGCTTATTGCTATGAAATTGTTATGGGTTTACTTCTCTTCACTGTAGTTGCATTCCTGGCGTGGTTTCCTTTCATCTCAGTATTCCAGACTCGTATGCTCTTTAGCCAAGCGATTGCAGAGGTCTGCAGATTTCTCGTATTCTAGGAGGCCAAAGGAAAGATCACACTTCTTAAAACAATGATGCATGACTGTAAGTGCAGTATTTATATTAATATGTTGGTCACCTCGCAGGAAACATGTTCGTAGAAATATTGTTCATATATGTATTTGTAGGATGAACCCTTGGCAGTATTTTTGGTAATTAAATCGACTCGGCAAGCCCTGTTAGCCAGTGCCTAAGGTGTCTTATTAAGAAACTGTTGATCAAACTGATTGTTCAATAAGGAAATCTAAGTTTTAAAGTAACCCAACACATTCACAGTAAAATAGAGATATTAAGAAAATAAGAGCATAAACAATAAAGAGTATACACACAAATTTATAGTGGTTCGGATTGATTATCTACATCCACTCTTCAGAGCAGTAGGAAATATACACTATGAAGAGAAATCTTACAGAGTTTGTGAGTCAGATTTACACCAAGAACCCAGTATCAACTCCCTTCTGTAAACCACCCTAGATTGCTCCCATGTGTCTCACACCTCTCACACACACAAAATACATAGAATAAATCAGAATTTATACAAGAGGAAAAAGAATAAAAATCAGTTACAAAGAGAGCTCATCACCATCGTTGATCTCATCCTGTGAATACCAAGGCTCCACCTTGACGTTTTCCCTCAACAACTTCCTCTCTTTGTAACAAGAAGAGAACAATCCAGAGAGAAATGAAAGTGGCGTGAAAGGCACAACAAATATCCCAAAGAATGAAATTACAAAGCTGTCCCTTTCTTTCTTCCAAATTGCCTTTGACCAAAGTTTAAAAACTTTGACTCCACATAAACTTAAATCAATGCCACATCAGCACAAATCTCCACCTTGGCATTTGATTTCTTCATCCCCTACTGCCCTGGAAATTTCCTCCATTCTTACTCAATCTGGAGCAGGCTCTTGAAGAGCCTTAGTTTATCCAAAGTAACAACTTTGGTAAACATATCTGTTGGATTCACTTTCCCAAGAATTTCTCCACCTTAATAATCTTTTCTTCAACCATATCTCTGATGAAGTACAGCCTCACATCAATGTGTTTGGACCTTTCATGAAATGTTTGGTTTTTGCATAGGAATATAGCATTTTGGCTATCACTCTTGATTGGAACTTGAGCCTGATTAAATCTCAGCTCACTAAGCATTCCCTTTAGCCAAATTGCTTCCTTGGCAGCTTCTGTAATCGCCACATACTCTGCTTTAGTAGTTGATAGAGTCACAATAGCCTGCAAATTAGCTTTCCAACAAACCAGATTATTCCATAAAGAGAAAACAAAGCTTGTCATGGATTTCCTATTATCAGGATTTCCAGCATAATCAGCATCTGCACACCCCACAATGAAATCCAGCATGTTTTTCTCTTTACTATACACAATTCCTGTTGACATTGTTCCCCTAATATACCTTAGTATCCATTTCACTGCTTCCCAATGAGGTTTTCCAGGATTACTCATGAATCTACTAACATAGCTCACTACAAAGGCTAAATCAGGCCTTGTACAGACCATGAGGTATATTAGACTTCCTATTGCATTAGCATAAGGGATATCAATCATTTCCTTTCTCTCATCTTCTGAACTAGGACACTGATTCAAGTTTAATTTAATATGTTGCCCCATTGGTGTTTTGAAATATTTACACTCAAGCATATTAAATCCTCTAATAACCTTCTCAGCATACTCCTTTTGCGATAGAATAATCCTCCCTGTTTTCCTATCTCTCACAATGTTCATTCCGAAGATTTTTTTAGCCTGTCCCAAATCTTTCATTTCAAATTGTTTGTTCATTTCTACCTTAAACTTAGCAATTTCAGCAACATCTTTACAAGCCAACAACATGTCATCAAAATAAAGTGCTAAGTAAAGATAGCAATCATCATATAAACATTTGAAATAAAGGCAACTATCAAACTTACTTATTTTGAAACCACAAAGAATCATGAAACTGTCAAATTTTTTATACCATTGCCTAGGGGACTGTTTTAGTCCATGCAAGGACTTCTTTAACAAACATACCTGATTTTCTTTACCTCTTTCAAACATTTCAAGTTGCTTCATTAGGATCTTTTCTTCTAGATCACCATTCAAGAATGTTGTTTTGACATCAAGTTGCTCTAATTCAAGTTCAAATTGAGCTACTAAGGACAGTAGAATCCTAATGGTAGTGTGCCTTACCACAGGTGAAAAAATTTCAGTATAATCTACCCCTTCAACTTGTATAAAGCCTTTAACAACCAACCTAGCATTAAATCTAGGAGCTTCTACCCCTGGAATTCCTTCCTTCCTTTTGAAAACCTATCTGCACTTAACAACTCTACTCCCTTCAGGTTTCCTAATAAGAACCCAAGTCTTATTCTTCATCAAAGATTTATATTCCTATTGCATAGCTAAGCTCCACTGCTTAGATTATTTGCTTTCCATAGCTTCCCTAACAGTTTTAGGTTCATCTTATATTTCTTCAGCAACTTGAAATGCAAAGGCAACCATGTCAGCTTGTGAAAACCTCCTAGGCAACCTAATTTCTCTCCTTTGCCTATCTCTAGCTAACTGGTAATTCTCCAATTCAGTTTCTTCATCATAAACTGAATCATTTTCATTCTCCTCTAAGATAAATTCTTCCTCTTGAGTTTGTAAATCTCCTTGCTGATATTCTGGTTTCAGATTGCCAAAATTGTCAAAAAAAGCTTCTCTATTCATTTCAAACCTAATAATTTCAGAATTCATCTTATCAGTCTTTTCATTCAAGCCACTCAATTCTTCTTCATTAAATCTGACATCCCTACTGATTATGCATCTTTTTCTAGCAACATCTCAGCACTTATACCCTTTTACCCCATCAAGATACCCTATGAAAATACACCTAATGGCTCTAGGTTGTAACTTATCAGATTTTTCGTGTACAAAAACAGTGCAACCAAAAACTCTCAAGCTACCATAATCAGCTGGATGTCCTGTCCATCTCTCAATGGGTGTTTTAAACTCTATTGCTGAGGAAGGAATTCTATTGATCAGAAATACTATTGTATGAGCAGCTTCAGCCCAGAACTTAGTGGGAAGTTTGGCATAAGACAACAAGCTTCTAACCTTCTCCAATATAGTTCTATTCATCCTCTCAGCTAACCCATTTTGTTGGAGTCTTCTCACCCTTCATTACAACTAAGGATCCTTTAGTGACTTTAAGGACTCCACCTTGAGCCTTATAGCTATAGCCAATTGAGTCTAGACTTCCTAGAGAAATTAAATTTCTTTTCAGCTCTGGTATGTATCTAACATCTGTGAGCCATTTTGAACTACCATCATGCAAATTCAGCCTTACATCTCCAATTCCTAAGACTCTACAAACTGCATTGTTGCCCATCAAAACTTTTCCAGACTCTAGTTTTCTAAAGTTTGAAAGAAAACTCCTATTTGGAGTCATGTGGAAAGAACAACCAAAATCAAGTATCCATTCAACATCAATTTCATTTTCAGAGGCTACCAATACATCAGAACTCTCATACCCATCGGAAGCTACATCTACACTCCCACTAGCATCCTTTTCCCCTTATTTTTTCTTCCTATCAGGACAGTCCCTCTTAAAATGACATTCCTTATGACAGTGTAAGCATTGTCACACACAAGCACTGTTATGATGGTTAGAAATCAAGTATGTCTCGGTTTGTTCAAGGAGGTTAAATTTAATGCTCTTTCCCTTACACACTAGATAAATGTGAAATTAATTTTTGCATTTTAGCATTGGTAACATCTTTGAAAAACATGGTTCATTGTCTCAATCTAGAATTCTACCTCTATATTAAAATATAAGATTATTTATAATAAATTACAAGATTATTTTATCTTCTTATTGTCTTAGTTACTCTAACTTATTGTATACATTTCAGATTCAAACATTAGGAATGCTAAGATCCCGTTTTGAATCATTTCCTGGTGCTTTTAATGCCTGTTTGATCCCAGAGAAGAGGAGTGAACCAAAGAAGAAAGGATTGAGGGACACTTTCTCCCACAACTTTGCTCAGGTTCTAATTGCCTGATGAACAACCAATAGGGCTGGTATACCATAGGAAGGGCAAAGGCAATCATTTGACCAAATACAGCCATTTTGTCACTCTTAAACACCCGTACACAGCCAAAGTGGTAGCGGATCTGTTTATCAAAGAAGTGGTCTGGTTGCATGGGTTTCCCCGAAGCATTGTTTCAGATAGAGATAGAATTTTCATGAGCAACTTGTGGACTGAATTATTCAAACAGTCTGAAACCGAATTACACATGAGTTCAGCCTACCATCCGCAGATGGATGGTCAAACAAAAGTGGTAAACCATTGCTTAGAGACATACCTCAGGTGCTTTGTCAATAGCCACCCGCAACAGTGGCCAAAATGGGTCCCATGGGCAAAAGTTTTGTTCAACACCACTTATCATAGCTCCACGGGCATGTGTCCATTTAAGGCTCTTTATGGCTGTGAACCTCCAACAGTGTTACACTATGCGGACCAGACTTCACCAGTTGAAGAAGTTGACTAGCAACTTCAACAAAGAAACCACATTATTAAGGAGTTAAAGGCTAATCTTCTCAAGGCTCAAAACCACATGAAGGTATATGCTGATCTCCATCACCGAGAGGTTACATTTGAGGTAGGGGAATCTGTCTATTTGAAGTTACAACCATACAAATTATGCTCTTTAGCCCGTCGCTATAATGAAAAGTTGAGCCCATGGTTTTACAGTCCATTTGTAATCACGGACAGAATTGGGGTCGTAGCATACAGGTTGGCACTACCTTCTTTAGCTCGTATTCACGACGTTTTTCATGTTTCACAACTGAAAAAAGCAATGTTCCCAATTACCAATAGCCAACCTTTACTGGCAGCCCTCAACAAGGATTTAATTCTACAACTTGAACCTGAAGCAGTCCTCAAAAAAAGGAAACTTCTGAATGGTGCTGATTCACTAGAAAGGATTACCGTCCTATGAAAACACATGGGAGGATTTTGACATTATTCACCACCAATTTCCTTCTTTCCACCTTGAGGACAAGGTGGTTCTCCTTGGGGAGGGTAATGATGAACAACCAATAGGGCTGGTATACCGTAGGAAGGGCAAGGGTAAAAAGTAGAGGAATAAGTGCTGACATTTGTGTGTAGAAGGTTAGAGTTTGTTAGAAAGGACAGATGACAGATGGCTTGACAAGAGTGGATATAGGAAGAATTCGGTTAGGAGCACAAAAGGTGCCAGGAGTGAATAAAAACAGAGAGGGGAGAGAAAGAATTATCAAGAAGGAAAAAGTAAATTGGAAGGGAGGCGGCTAACCCTCGAAGTCAGTATTTTGGGAGGTGATTGACCCTCGAAGTCAGCCTTTGGTTTACCATTTTTCTTAGTGTATTTGCTGTATTTTCCCAGTTTATTTGCTTATTGAGTACTGATAGGACAAGGCTACTGGAAGTATCTGTTCTGGTTGTAATGTTCTGTGTGGGTATTAATATAACTGGGTATTTTCTTATTGATTGTGAGTGTTGGTTGTGTGTTGTGGAATAGCTTGTTGGTATTGCTGGTTGCTTTTGCAGGACAGGTTCTATCATTGCCTAATATCTTTTGAAGGATTCATGTCTTCTTTACAATTTTATTGTGTAAGAATCCTGAAAATATGTTCATTTTCTACGCTGCAAATGTCGTTTGTTTGTTGTTGCAGCTCTCTTCAAACGAAGAGAAAGAAGCTGCTAGATTTGCTCAGTTGTGGAACAAAATAATCAGTAGTTTCAGAGAGGAAGATCTTATAAGGAACAGGTATGCGGCATGGCTTTGTAGAATATACTGGCTATATTAGAAAATGTCAATTCCTCTAATTGTTTATATGTTCTGTTTGTTCCTTGTTGTACTGAGCTTGGTACTTTAACCAATTTCAGGGAAATGGACTTGCTGCTTGTCCCATATTGGGCTGACCATGATTTGGACCTTATTCAGTGGCCTCCTTTTCTGCTTGCAAGCAAGGTTTGATTCACTTTGCTTTCCTTATAACATTTAGAACCTGCCAGCCCAGAAATTAACAATTGCATTTTCTTTGTAGACAAAAATTGCATTAGATATGACCAAGGATAGTAATGGTGAGGATCAGGAGCTGAAGAAGAGAATTGGGACTGACCCTTATATGTCTTGTGCTGTTAAGCAATGCTATGCTTCATTTAGGAACATCATTATGTCCTTGGTTGAGGGGATCGTGAGAAAAAGTAAGTTCTGATGCAATGTACTTTGCTGAATTCTATATGTCAATATAGATGTCAGGTCAAGTCTAGTATTTTCTAATGTAATTGTTTTTCTCTTGATGGTATTCAGGGTTATACAGTACATGTTTGGTGAAGTTGAAAAACTTATAGAAGAGGGTACATTAATTAGGGAATGCAAAAAGAGTGCCCTTCCTAGCCTCTATGAACACTTTGTGAAGCTAATCAAATATTTGGTAAATTGAAAATATATTGTAGCATTGTTATTTTTTTTAATTCAAGTTCAACTTTGTGTGATGGTCATTCCTAAATCGATCATTTCGTTTTTGCAGTTAGATAATAAACAAGAGGATAAGGATCAAGTTGTAATTACTTTCCAGGACATGCCGGAGGTGGTGTCAAGATATATACTGATAGAGGATCAAATACCCAGGTTGACATCTTGATTTGATAACCTCCTGATTTGATAACCTCCTCCAAGTGCATGTCCACTGTAACTCCTTTTTTACAGGTGGTGTCAAGAGTTATTTTTCTTGTCAAAAAATAATAGATCAAAGGTATCTAATCCTCAACGTTGTGTGATGTTATGTCATGTGTTGTGTGCATAGGAAATTTTTTTTTTTTTTCATCAAAGTATTATTTGTAAAATATTATAAATTGCCACAACTTTTAGCCCATGACAATTGAAATCCATGGGATCATTAATTTTTTTTCTTTCCAATATTCAATTGAAGTGAATGGGAAACTTAACAACTTTTTGTGATAATTTCTCTTGTTGCCACATGTTGACAATTTTCATTGTCATATTATTATTATTTAGTGCTGTATTACCATCTTATAGTATAAGAATGTAGCTACTTGAAGTTTAGAACATATCTTGTGAACCATACATTAGATAGTTCAAACTTCCCACACTAATACCAGAACTTTATTGAGAAAAAATCATACAATGGCTTGATCTTCTGGTGAAACTGTCCTCAGTTCCTCACTAGTTAGTTATGCACTGCAGTTTTATTTATTACTTCATGCTTTTCTCAAGTGTCACTTTTCTTGTAGTGTTTTAACTCCATACTACACGGAGGAGGTTCTTTTCTCTTTGAAAGAGCTGGAATCACCAAATGAAGATAGTGTTTCAATCCTCTTTTATTTGCAAAAGATATTTCCAGGTTTCTCCTTTGCTCCTATTATTTGTCTCGATGAACAAAAACTTTTACAGTGAGAGGCATAAATGTGTTTGCACCTGGTGGAGCTATAATGTTTCCTTGAAAAGTTTCTCCCGTTGTACTAATCTGGTGTTGGTTATAGATGAATGGAATAACTTTCTTGAGCGAGTAAAATGCCTTAGTGAAAAAGAACTTAAAGGATCTGATGAACTAGAAGAAGGGCTCCGCCTCTGGGCATCATGTAGAGGCCAAACTTTGACTAGAACTGGTATTTTATCAGTCTCTCTGTGTGGTTGTGGGTCTGTTAAGAGTGTGGATCTGTATCACACTAGATTGTTTGCAATTGACTGATACTGTTTTGTGAATTACAGTGAGAGACATGATGTACTATCTGAAAGCTTTGGAACTGCAGGCTTTTCTTGATATGGCCCAACATGAAGGTAAATATTGTGTGTTAGAAAAATCAGTGCAATTGATTATTTGGTGCTCATAAGTAATGCTTGATTGTGTGTCTATTGTTGTTGTCAACCACTTCTACAATAAGGCACAAGGCAAGCACATTCGAGGGTTGAGGGGGTAGCGCCCCCGGTCCCGTAAGTGGTCCGCTGTAGGATTTCTGTAAGTAATTAAATTCTTAATTGGGTTTGGGCTTAAGAAAAATGATCCTATAGTAATATTGAGTTTTTCTCTTTAAATCTAGTATATAAACTTATTTTTCTCTTGTATGAGTGTGATAGCAAACTATTGACAAATACATTCATTGTAACGAAAGAGGTGAAACATTATTCTAGTTTTCTTAATTGGGTTTGAGCTTAAGAAATAGAATCCTAGTAATATTGACTCTGTTGGATGTAACATGTTAATTGGGTAAATCCGAATGAATCACGCGTGTTTTCTTTCTTGTTACTTGTTTGATATTTGTGTGTGTATACTTGTTTAATTTCGTATTACTCTCTAGATTGGTTCATCTATTACAACAGATTTCCAAGACACCTCTTTTTTCTTCATTTTTCATAACTGGATAGGGATTTTGAGTTGATGTGTTTTGTTTATGTGGTTTTAGGATACTGTAGTTTTTTCTCTGTTTTGGTGTTCATATACACAAGATTTTTTGGTTTTTTGTAAAGCTCAAAATGGACACCTGGTCCACCTTTGTATCTCTTTTTTTTATAATATACTAGTGTTTCCTATAAAAAAAATAAATAAATAAAATAAAAAATAAAGGAATAAAGTAATTCTTGATTATGTGCATAGTTGTTTACATATAGATGCTTTTTCTCAATACAATAATCGTATATTATCATGTAATTTATGCTTGCATTATTTGGTTTGGATATCGTACCTTGTATGGAAGGCTATAAGGCAATCGAATTAAATGTGGATGATAACAAGGGAGAAAGATCATTGATGATGCAGTGTCAAGCCGTTCCTGATATGAAATTCACGTATGTCGTTTCATGCCAACAATACAGTATTCAAAAGAGATCTGGTGATCATCGTGCACAGGACATTCTGAGGCTAATGATAACGTATGTGTGTGCAATTAATTTCCTGCTGAATCACTAATTGCAGTTAATTTGTACTGGTCTGTACAGTGTGGATTAGCAGACTAGTGGGCTTATCATAACGCATATTGTAAAACCCCATTTCTAAGTTTGTTTTCTGTGGAGAGCGTCATATCCTTCCTTCTTGTGTTATTTCAACGATGACTACCAAGCAACTACTCAGGAAACAATGTCCCGCTTATCTAGCTCATGTGGTAGACACTAGAATCAGTGAATTGAGGTTAGAGGATATTTTGGTAGTAAGGGAATTCCCAGACGTTTTTCCTGAAGACCTTCCTGGTTTGCCACCTAATAGAGAAATCGAGTTCATTATATATTTGGTTCCCAATTCAGCCCCCATATCCATGGCCCCTTATAGAATGGCACTACGGGAATTGCAAGAGTTAAAAGTACAACTCTAAGAATTGGTGTATAAGGATTTCATTAGACCTAGTGTGTCACCGTGGAGAGCACCAGTTTTATTTGTTAAAAAGAAAGATGGTACTTCCAGATTATGCATAGATTACCGGCAGTTAAATAAGGTAACAGTGCGTAACAAGTATCCTTTGCCGCTAATCGATGACTTATTTGATCAATTGTAGGGTGCTAGGGTGTTCTCCAAAATAGATCTAAGGTTCGGTTACCATCAACTAAAGATTAGGGAGACTGATATACTGAAAACAGCATTCAGGACACGTTATGGACATTATGAGTTCTTAGTGATGCCTTTTGGCTTAACCAATGCTCCTGCAGCTTTTATGGATTTGATGAATAGGGTGTTTCGTCCATACCTGGACTGGTTTGTGGTTGTGTTCATTGATGACATCTTAGTGTATTCGAGAAACGAGGAGGAACATGAGGAGCACCTCAGGATGGTCCTACAAACCCTCAAGGAAAATAGACTATGCGAAGTTTAACAAGTGTCAGTTTTGGCTCAATCAGATTTCATTTTTGGGTCATGTGATCTCGGCGGATGGTATTTATGTGGATCCCCAGAAAGTAGAAGCAGTGTTGAATTGGGAGAGACCTATCAATGTGATAGAAGTGGGGAGTTTCCTCGGGTTAGCCGGATACTATCGGAGATTTGTGGAAGGATTTTCTAAGATAGTAGCCCCTTTGACCAAATTGACACGGAAGGAGGTAAAGTTTGAGTGGGATGACGATTGTAAGCGGAGTTTCCAAGAATTGAAAGTAAGGCTAACTTCAGCCCCCGTACTTGTCTTGCCTTCCGGTAATGATGAATTTGTGGTGTTTAGTAATGCATCCCGTCAAGGTTTAGGTTGTGTGTTGATGCAACATGGGAGAGTAATAGCCTATGCGTCCAGGCAACTCAAGGGACACAAGACGAATTACCCAACCCACGACTTGGAACTCGCAGCGGTAGTCTTTGCTTTGAAAATTTGGAGACATCATCTTTATGGGGTCACTTGCCAGATTTTTACGGACCATCAGAGTTTGAAATATTTGTTTACTCAAAAGGAATTGAATCTAAGGCAGAGAAGGTGGATTGAGCTTATCAAGGATTATGACTGTATGATTAATTAGCATCTTGGCAAGGCCAACGTAGTGGCGGATGCCCTAAGTAAAAAAACCCTGAGCGTCATGGCGCATATGAAGGTGCATTATCCCTTGCTTACAGAGTTGAGGACCGTGGAGTGCAGTTGGGAATGAATGAGTCAGGGGTACTTTTAGCACATTTTCAAGTTAAACCTATTTTGGTGGATCGAATCAGGTAGTCCCAGTATATGGAGCCTAATATAATGAAGTTAATGGGAGAAGTAAGTGAGAGGTTACGAACCGATTTCTGGATCACGAGCGATGGTATGTTAATGATGGGGAATAGACTTTGTGTGCCCAATGCAGAGGAGTTGAAAAGGGAGATTTTAGAAGAGGCTCATTCGTCAGCCTCTGCTATGCATCCAGGTAGTACAAAGTTGTACCATACTCTAAAGGAACATTATTGGTGGCCAGGTATGAAAAAGGAAGTAGCTGAGTTTGTTTCTAGATGCTTAGTTTGTCAACAAGTTACGGCTAAACATCAGAGGCCAGCAGGATTGTCCCAACCGCTTCCTATTCCACAATGGAAATGGGAGCACATTACCATGGACTTCATGATAGGCCTCCCTCGTACTACATATAAGCATGATGGTGTATAGGTGATTGTTGACCGGTTGACAAAGTCCACTCATTTCTTACCGATTAAGACCACCTATTCGCTTAATAGGTTGGCGAGCATCAATGTCGCAGAGATTGTGAGACTTCACAGTGCCCCTGTTTCTATAGTATCGGATTGGGATCCCAGGTTCACATCTAGATATTGGCCAAGTTTACAGAAGGCTTTAGGTACCAAACTAAATTTTAGCATGGCATTCCACCCTCAGACTGATGGGCAGTCAGAGAGGACAATTCAGACTTTAGAGGATATGTTGCAGGCTTGTATAATGGAATTCAAGGGTAGTTGGGATGTGTATTTACCCTTGATGGAATTCGCCTATAATAACAGTTATCACTCTAGTATTGGGATGCCACCCTATGAAGCTTTATATGGTCAAAAGTGTAGAACTCCAGTGTGTTGGGATGAGGTTGGTGAGAGGAAATTAATTGTTAGGCCCTGAGATTGAGCAAGACACCAATGAGAAGATTAGTATTATCAGAGTGAGACTTAAAGCGGCTCAAGATAGACAAAAGAGTTATGCCAATAAGCGGAGAAGGGAGCTTGAATTCGAAGTGGGTGATAAGGTTTTCCTAAAAGTTTTGCCATGGAAATGGGTGTTAAGGTTTGACAAGCGGGGTAAGTTGAGCCCAAGATATATTGGTCCTTATGAGATTCTAGGAAGAATTGGTGAAGTAGCGTACATATTGGCATTACCACCAGAATTAGAGAGAATCCATAATGTCTTCCATGTTTCCATGCTCCGTAAGTATGTAGCAGATCCCTCTCACGTTCTTCAACAACAACTGATTCAATTGGATGAGCACTTAACTTATGAGGAAAGGCCGGTTCAAATTGTGGATTATAAAAAGCAAGTGCTCCGTACTAGAACCATTCCTTGGGTAAAAGTCGTATGGGAGAATCATGCGATCGAAGAGGCAACATGGGAGCCTGAAGATGTCATGCGGACTAAGTACCCGTACCTTTTTCAATGAGGTTAGTGAAATTTCAGGGACGAAATTCTTTTAAGGAGGGAAGTTGTAAAACCCCATTTCTAATTTAGTAATAGCATGAATTTTAATTAGTTATTTAATTCCCTTTCTATTTGATTTTATGGTATTGTTGTAAGAAAGGGGTATTTTGTCAGTTTTAAAGTTGCTTTAAGGGGCGAAAACGAAGAAATAAATCCTGATGGGTTTGCATTATCAAGAGGGAAAAATTTGGACATTTTTGCTAGGAAAAGCTTAGGTGGTGATTTAGAAATTTTGGGGGGCATATTATAATTTCAGAAAAATGTTTTGTTTAAAAGAAAAAAAAAAAAAAAAGAAGAAGAAGAAGAGAAGAAAGAGTGGGTTCGGCCGAGAGTTAGAGTGAGAGAGGAAGAGAAGAAAAAGGAAGAACAAAGAGAAAGGGGGAGGATATATTAGTTTTCGGGTCTGTGAACAGTGTATCATCAAATCGTGATCTAGAACTCGTCTGCCGTCCGATCGTTCTGATTTTTTGATATGTTGTTCATGAAACACAACTCTACATTTTAAACTGTAGAGATCGAAATCTAAGCACTATAATAGGCAGCCAATTATAGGATTAGAAGAGTGAGTGGTTTTAATAAAAACTTTCCTTAAAAAATTCAGATCTATGCTTGCATGTTAATTTCTAGTATGCCATTTTTGTATTTTGATGAGGTTTGACCTAAATGTGAAGCTTGCTTGGTTTATTTTTTCTTTGCATGTTTTCGGACAGATTCTAGAGTGGTTGTTTTGAGTTTTAAAATGGAACGAACTTTGCTTGCTAATTAAACTTGCATGCATTTGGCTGTTTCAATAAACTGTGATGGTGGCTGGATATTTTGGGTTGCATGCACTCGGCTGGACTGCATTTTGAGAGGTGCTAGAGTTATGTATTTGGACTAAAAGTTGGTTGGTTAAATACACTTGCATGCTTCCAGTTGGACTGTCTTTGAGAAAATTGATTTCCATAGTGTTTTAAAATGCGGGGAGTTAAGATATTTTGGCTATTAAAATGTAAAGAAAAGACTGAGATTTGTGAGGTTAGTGATACTTTTCTCGGTAAAAAGGGAAAATGGGGTGCTTTTCATCAGTTTTGAAAGTATATTTTAAAAACTTGCATTTTACCCCCTATTTTCCATGAAATCTCATATGTTGGCATGTCTTATCCTTATAGGAAATATTCATATATTATTATTATTATTTTTGGTCTTCGGTTTAATTATAATTATAATGTGTTACATGAGTTTTGACTTTTAAAAGTGATATTTGTTTATGTTTTATAAGCACATACGTAATATACTCTTGACTTACATGTTACTTGAGATTATGCATGAGATTGTTGTGGTGCTAAAACCACCCTACGAAGTACCCATCCTTCAGAGATACAGATTTTTGGCTCTGCCCGAGCGATGCAGGATTCCACCGGGTATGACAGTTTCAGATTTTGGCTCTGCGCATACGTATGACAGATTTTATTGGCTCTGCCTGGGCGTTGAGTGGTCCGCCAGGTACGATAGTTTCAGTGGCTCTGCCTGTGCGATGATAGATCTTGCCAGGTATGACAGGTACGTCCCTCGCTCTGCCTGCGTGTGGGATGCCCACCAGGTATGACAGATTTTCCCCAGGGTACTAGTTGTGGTGAGAGTTTTTAATACTAAAAGTTGAGGTTTTATACAGAATCCGATACAGTTAAAGGAAGTAAGTCAAAGTACAGTTTACTGAGTGCAGGATGGTTAGAAAAAAATCACATATTACATATTCATAGAATTATATTGTCTTCATGATTTGCTTGAAAATTGTTGTATGTTATCATTAATTCTTTTTTTTTTTTTTAAAGAATTTTTATAAACCTCCCCTTTCCCCTACTCACTGTGTATTTCCGCTCACCCCTTTTTAATCTCCCCCCCCCCCCCCCCAACCTACCAGGACCTTCCGGAGATCGTGCCGAGCAGTGAGCCTCCGCTCAGGGCTGTGCTACGCGTCGACATCTTTTCATGTGGGTTTTATATTTATGTCGCATTGTATTTTGGACTTTCGTTTCAAGAACTCATGTTTCCCATCATGTATTTCCTTTTGTTTCATGTTTTGGAATGTATAGTATAAGTGGAAAACCTGATACCACAATTTTCGCTAACTCTTTTCTTTTGTAAAATGAAGGATGATGCATGTCTTTTTTTTTTAGATATTGGAAATGGAAATACTATGATGCTATTCAGGAAAAGTAGGTATTTTAACAGGTTTCTCAGTTTTTCTACATGGCATGTCTCGAGTATCCGAGTCTTCTGGGAGCGCTCGGATCCTACGGGATGAGGAAATTCGGGACGGGTCATGTCACATATGTCTGAGATTAAATTATTTGAAATCAATAATTTGAGTTAATGTTAATTGGTTGATTTATTTTACTTGGCAGGTATCCCTCACTTTGTGTAGTATACATTGATGAGGTTGAAAAACCAGAAGATCTATCACTCTGTTTTGGTGAAGGCTGCACCAAAGTCAATTGATTCTCCAGATCCAATTCAAAGTTTGGACGAGGTAAAGCTCAATTTTATTGGGTAGCCATGTGGCAAATTTGCTATGGCTTTTATCAATTGTGTAATCTTTTTCTACAAGTAGGTCAGATCATGGATATGGATATCCATATCCATGTTGAAGCATTTACTTCCATGCGCATGGTTGGGAATTTTTCTTTTAACTGTTTATTATGTGTATTCCATAAAATTGATCCTATATTGGTGTACTTCTTTTTCGCTTTCTGGTTTTACGGTAGCTTTAAGGATTTTGTTGGAGAACTGTTTTTGAAAATATTCCAATTGAACTCATTTTTCTTAAAATTTCTTGTATCACCTTGCTTTTAAAAGCAAATAAATTATATTGAAATTCTATATTAAGCTGGCCCTTCGTTTTCCAGTTTATATTTTTCTCAAGTTGCAAAACAGATCTGGACTATTTACATTCATAGCCAAATGCTGATGTATGTTATTTTTTTTGCTGGCATTGAATTTTGAAGGGTAGGATCTGAAAGATTTTTTCCTGAAGACATACATCACTTTAATGTGCCCAGTGGTTCAAAATACTTTAAGGTTGAAATATTTATCAATCTGTTCGGAATATGTACTTTGTTAGGAACTTTTTTGTATTTTTCCAAGAATCTCACTAAGTTATAATTTCCTTTTTCTTTATTGTTTATACTTTTTGTCAATTACTTATTTTTGGTTTAAATTTCATTGTCAATTTTCAGTGTCATAACATTTTCAATTCGTTCTTCTTGTTTCCGCTTACAGGAAATTTATCGTATAAAACATCCTGGACCTGCTATTTTGGGTGAGGGAACGCCAGAAAATCAAAACCATGCTATTATATTCACCCGTGGGGAAGGCTTGCAAATAATAGATATGAACCAGGTTTGGTGATAGTATAAAGGAATGTCATAATTACATCATGCCACAGTCATGTTCAGTTTGCTAAGGTGTTCATTTCTACAGGATAATTACATGGAAGAAGCCTTAAAAATGAGGAATTTGCTGCAAGAATTCCTTAAAAAGCATGATGCCGTGAGGTATCCGACCATTCTTGGACTTAGAGAGCATATATTTACTGGAAGGTTAAAAGCACTTTAATAGCCCTGGATTTTATTTTGCAGTCTTATATAAATTATTTAATAATGCTTTTATTATTTGATGCAGTGTTTCTTCACTTGCTTGGTTCATGTCAAATCAGGAGACCAGTTTTATGACAATTGGTCAAAGACTGTTAGCCAACCCTCTGAAGTAAGTTATCATGTTTTGAATTCCTTGCTTCAAATCTTCTCTTCTTTTATGTTATTTGCATGTTTTCGCGGAGTATATATATGTGAAAATCAAAATTGGGAGAACTTATTTACATGAAAAGTTTGCAGGGAAAACCATCTTTTTTGCTTCTAAAATCGTCGTTGATAGTATTTATTCCTATTGCAGAAAGATAGACACAAGTTAGAAGTTAAGATCCATAAACATACATATTTCACTTTTACGGGCAGCTTAGCAATATTGTGGGTTTTACAAAATTGAACTACTAGCTCCTCAGACTTACGACTTTCTTCATGGGGATGTTTTTATGAATATAACTTACGATGATATTTATGTGTGTTAAGTAGAATTTGTGTCCCCGCTCCGCACCAGGTCGAATCAAAAGCCGTGTTGAACTGTTATAACAATTGAAAATATTATGTAAGTACGATGTTTATATATATTCATATACATATCAGGATATCGAAAGATCAACAAACAAACATGGTCTTACCGTCTTGGTGTAGCTCAAACGTTTTTCCAAGTATGTTTATAGCACAATTGGGTAAAACTTAATATAGCCGAATGCTTGGAAGTGATTACCACAAACCCTAGTATAAAACAATGTGTTTAAAAACTGAAAATTTTCAGAATGGGTATCGTTAAAGTAAATTTCATTTTCAGTTTTGAAGAGGAAAAAGATTAGCAAATGGAAGCTTTTACTTCAGCATTGAGTCTTCGATATCTTGAATGAATTGAATGGGTCACTGATGTTATGATCAATCTTGATGGCTGAAACATTTAATAATATTGCAATCAGATGATTCTGGGCATCTTTGTGGTCATCGCTTTCTTAATAAATATTTCTTTCCTTCGTTTTCTTTCCCTATGCTTGTCTAGGCTGATTGGCTATGTCCGCCCAGACTGGCTATGTCCTTGTTTCTGGTTATGGAGGGTTCGATTCCATTATGGTCATCCAGATGTGTTTGATAGGCTCTTTCACCTTACTAGAGGAGGTGTAAGTAAAGCATCCAAGGTTATCAATTTGAGTGAAGACAGATCTGCTGGTATTCTGGTCTGTGGAACTTTTCTTTGTTTGCTTGTTTGTGTGGACGATGTTGAATAGTTGGATCTTAATGATGTGTGATTTGGTTGTGTCTGCTGCTTTCAATTCTACACTTCGAGAAGGCAATGTTACCCAACATGAATACATACAAGTCGGGAAGGGAAGGGAAGGGATGTCGGCCTGAGTCAGATTTCTATGTTTGAATCTAAGATAGCTAATGGCAATGGGGAGCAGTCACTGAGTCGAGATATATATTGGCTTGGACATCGGTTTGACTTTTTCCGAATGTTGTCATGCTATTTCACTACCATTGGATTCTACTTTGGTATATTGCACATTTATTTTTTGTTTATTTTCACTTTTCTCAGGCTTGTTTCTGTTTGTAGTTTTCTAAGGTCCAGAATAACATCTTTTTTTTCTTTTTTGACAGATAACTGTGATCACTGTGTATGTGTTCCTGTATGGTCGTCTCTATCTTGTACTTAGTGTTGAAAATTCAGATTTAATTGAAATCCCAAGATTCTTGTATTTAGCAATAATTATAGGGATAGCAGTAATCATAGGGAGTAATTATAAAGATAGCAGTGATCTGATAGGACCACTCTAATAACTCAACAATTTGGGTTGGGTCATGGGTCTTTCATAGGCTTGGGTAAAACTCTCCTTAGAAAATCGGCTTACCAAGGGAAGGTGTTCAAGCCATTATAACCCACATGTCTACCTTTTTCCCTTTCAATGTAGGATCCTAACATTTCACCACGGTTCCGCAACCGACGTCCACGTCGGCCTCTTTACCCCCATCAACCTCTTTACCCCTTGGGTGACTACGCAGATCCCCTTTCTTTCTGGCCTCCATGTCCTTTCTCGGGGTAGTAGCCTGGGCCCAAGGTCAGCTTGCCACAAGTCAGCCTACCACGCGTGCATTGCCACATAGGCGCAAGATCATGCTCTGATATCAATTGATAGGAACCCATTCTAATAACTCAACAATTTTGGGTTGGGCCATGGGTCTTTCATGGGCTTGGGTAGAACTCTCCTTGGAAAACTGGCTTGCCAAGGGAAGGTGTCCAAGCCATTATAACTCATATGTCTACCCTTTTCCCTTTCATTGTAGGATCCTAACATTCCACCACGCTTCCGCAATCGACGTCCACGTCGGCCTCTTTACCTCCATCAACCTCTTTACCCCTTGGGTGACTACGCGGATCCCATTTCTTTCGGGCCTTCATGTTCTTTCTCAGAGTAGCAGCCCGGGCCCAAGGTCAGCTTGCCACAGGTCAGCCTGCCACGCGTGCATTACCACATAGGCGCAAGATCATGCTCTGATACTAATTGATAGGAACCCACTCTAATAACTCAACAATTTTAGGTTGGGTCATGGGTCTTTCATGGTCTTGGGTAGAACTCTCCTTGGAAAACCGACTTGCCAAAGGAGGGTGCCCAAGTCTTTATAACTCACATGTCCACCCTTTTCCCTTTCAATGTGGGATTCTAACATAATCATAGGGATTATAATCAATGAGCCGTAAATTAGTAGTTAATTGTTTCATGATTTCTGGGGATTAACTACCTAGAATAACAATTCATTACTGTATAAATTTTTTTGTGTTCGATCATGTTTAATAAGAATTAAGAATTCCAGAATTCTCGTCATACTATCAAAGCTTTAGGCTCTTTTCTGGGATTAGAAATCTCATCCCACAGGCCCTCATTGCCAAGATCCTTTGTGCCCTACTTATATCCTGTATTTTTCTCAATTCTTTTTCTATTTAGCCTTCATTGCTAAAATATGTCTCCCACAATCGAGAAAACTACTACACCCAGTCTGAAGCAGTGACTCTTAATCAAACAACAGGAGAACTACCGACTATTCAATCTACTTATAAATTGAATGGAAAAAAAATCATAAAAAGTGGTCTAAAGTGGTACGGACCTTTCTAAAAGGGAAGGGGAAATTGAGTCATCTCCTTGGTACTAGACCTAAGAGGGGAGATCCTAAATTCGACGCTTGGGATGAAGAGGACTCCACGGTCATGTCTTGGCTAGGGAATTCCATGCTGCTAGAAATCAATGATACGTTTATGTTTTTGCCAACGTCTAAAGAAATATGGGAAGCAGCAAAAGAAACTTATTCTAAGGTAAGAGATTGTGCTAAATCTATGAGATTAAAACTAAAATTTCTAGCATCAAACAAGGAGATCGCTCAGTCACAGAGTATGCCAATCTCTTGATGAATCTATGGCAAGAGATGGATCATTATCGGTGCATTGATATGAGGTGCAACTGTGTTAAAGAATTTGATTGAAAAGGATCGAATTTATGATTTCCTCGTTGGTTTACATGTTGAGTTTGATCAGGTGAGAGTTCAAGTATTAGGAAAAGAAGATTTACCTTCATTGAATGAGACCATCTCTATCATCAATGCTGAAGAAAGTCAAAGGAGAGTTATGCTTTACTCTCAACCAGTTGAAGGATCAACAATGTTTGGAAATCCAATGATCAGAACCTGAAGTTTAGTAGTGAAAAGACATTTGCCTTCAATATTGCAAATTCAGAAATTGGCAGAATAGAGTCTTGGTCCTCAAACAAGGATAATCTCTGGTGTAACTACTGCAAAAAGTCTTGCCATACCAAAGAGCAATGTTGGAAACTTCATGGAAAACCAAAAAGTTCTCAGTGGAATAAAGGTCCTAGAGGAGGAACACAGCGAAGCCAGGCGAATATGACTCAATCCAGAGAGGATAGGTCACATGATTCCAGCGGTGAAGAGAAGCATGAATTTAACAAAGAAGACATTGGAGGGTTGAGGTTACTCCTTGATTCATTGCAAAAGTCTACACGTACCTACTCCCTAGCAAATTCAGGTAAACTTCATTCCTTATATGCTTTAAGTGCCTTTAGTTCAGATTTTTCAAATACCTGGGTTATTGACTCCGGGGCAACCAACCATATACCCGTTCTTCACACAAATTTCTCACATACCATCCCTGTTCTAGCAACCGAAAAGTATCTATCAGATGCATGATATATATTCCAATCAGCCTCTGCTGCTAAGGCGAATCACAATGACGCAGACGGCTGGGAATCTCGAAGAGATGATGTTTGATAGTGAGGTGGTACCATCTTCACTTGTTAATATTGTGCCGATTCTCCGTCTGGCTAATGAAGTTGAATCGAGTAACCCGAGGGCTGCTTGTCTATGTAAGTTCTTGTTATTAGCTTTAGGGATTAATCAGATCGTATGGTTTGTTGCTAGAAGTATTTTTTGTTGAATCTGACCATATCCATCAATTTAACCTTTATTTTTTGTTTATTCAAAAATATCTTGTGCATGTTTATGTATTAATAGTATTGTTTGAGCTCAAAAAAAATTTTAGCTATTAGGTTTGTTAAAATGTAACAATGATTGAACTCAACCTAAATGTGGACACACTACTAGAAAAACCCTCTTTCTTATGGGTAATAATTGTCAAGGAAGGGGTTTCTTGACAATTCTTCACCCGTTATTGAAGCCACTGTGATGGTGACCGTTTTTGAACTGTCAAGAAATTCTTGACAGATCTCTTGACAATTATAACTCATCGAGGATTTGGCTGAATTTTAACCAATAGTTTTTGAACTATCAAGAGATTTTAACCAAAAAAAATTTAATTTAATAATAATAATCAAATTTTATTAATAATAATTTTTCATCCTTGATAGTCTTAAAACTGTCAAGGATTTTATTTGTAAATATTTTTATTTTGTAATTTATTACCAATTAAATAATAGAATAATGCAATGAAATTCTTCATAATATTCCTCAACCAACAACAATTATCAAAATTCATAAATAAATTTAAACATTCAATAATCTTTGAACCATACTAATTAAGTAAACGAAATTCAACAATAGTAGTGTATCATTCAACAAAAGTTTAATACATATTTTTTTCCCTCGTTGACGCCTTGACATCAATAACTTAAAAAAGTTTGATATGTACAAATGAGAATGCTGAGACAAGTTAATCTGGTAACTGTTAGGATTCTTTTTCAATTAGGATAGAATTAGGATTATTAGGTTAGATCCTTTTATAATAATGGTACAATATTATCTAATTAGAATATCTTTAGAATTAGGTTATTATCTTTTGAATTGGGCAATTGGAGTCTTTTTAGAATTAGAGTAGTTTGTAAGGCTACATAAAGCCTAAAACTATCAAGGTTTGGCAGGCAATAATCAATAAAATTTTCTTCCCTTAAACTCTCAATTCTCATTCTTCTTGAAGGTTTTGTTTCCTTATGAAAAACAGAAATACTATCGTATCATTAACATTTTTAACTAACCATGCATGAAAGGCTTAAGCAAGTATGTACAAATTAAGCGCCGATGATATGTTTGCTTGTGCATGCGCATTTTTTAATTACTCTTCAAATTTCTCCTCTGTTATGGTATTAAACTTAAGTTGTAGTTAATTTACTATTCTTTTGGGAGGCGTGGAATTTTCATGTCGCGACGGACCCTTTCCCAACAGGCTCCAACACAACCACGCCGTCGCATAGCCTTTCCATGCTGCGACACAACTCCTGTCAACTCATTTTCTGGGTTTCTTTCCATCTCAACCACATTTCTCCATAACGTCCTCACTTCCCAACCATTTCCTTGCACCATTTCACTCCAATAACACTCACTTGCATGCAATGCTTCACCCTAACACTCCATTCACAGAAAGCAACACGAGGTGAGATCTACATGATCTCAAATCTTAAACTCAAAACCCATATCACTCAACCAACCTTTCACTCTTCCAAAACCCACAAACAAACCAGCCCTTCCCAAAATTTGGCTAGATTTCCACTCAACAACACCAAATACACACACACATTACACCAACATTCAACACACATAAGATGGGCTTTCCAAACATGATTTAATGCAAGATTTATAATATTCTATTCACCACTTCATTTCTCTTAGCTTAGATACTCGGACCCTTGCTCCTCTTCACCTATTGTCCCCAAATAAACCTAAAATTAGAAATACTTAAAGAACAAGAAGAGAAAATGGAAGAAGATAGTGTTTAGGATGAAATGCATGCATGAATTACACTTTATCATCTCAATACCCTTGATAAAGTGACTACGTGAATAAAGCTGTAATTGTCTGCAAATTTGGCATGGAAGACGACAAAACCATGATTTGGCATGTAAGACCACAAACCCACGACCAGTAGGCCTATATTTTGCACCTCCATGAAGTAATGTCCTTTCGTAATAGTGAGCCTTCGTTCCTAGAGAGAAAGTGAAAAAGGCTGGTGCCAATTGCAATAGAATCAAAAAAAGTTAACTTAGTATAGTCCATAAACCCCTCTTCAAGCCAATTTCCATCAACATAGGCAAGGCCATCAAAAATCCAATTTAAACAAAAGATTGAGAAGCAAGGGTTACTTGGAGAGGCTTATTGTCTCGAATTGTTGGCTGAGTAGTCAACCCTTCTTAAAGACCACTAAGTACAAGATAGAAACAACCATACAAGAACACATATATAGTGAGCACAGTTACCCAAAAAGAGAAAAAAAGATGTTAGTATGGACCTTCAGAAAACTACAAACACAAACAAGCCCGAAAAAAGGTCAAAAAAAAAAAAAAAGATTAAATGTGCAATATACCAGAGTACTGAAATAGAATCCAATGGTAGTGAAATAGTATGACAACATTCGAAAAAGTCGAACCGGCACCCAAGCCTGCTTATATCTCGACTCAGTGTCTGCTCCCCACTACTATTAGCCACATTAGCTTCAAAAGTAGAAATCTGATTCAGGCCGACATCCCTTCCCTTCCCGACTTGTATGTATTCATGATGGGTAACATTGCCCTTTCGAATGGTAGAATTGAAGCCTGCAGACACAACCAAATAACACATGTTACCATTCAGATCCAACTATCCAAGATCGTCCACACTAACATATGTTTTGTTCTCTCATGAAAAACTAAATTTGTTGCAATATCATTTGCTGCCTTATTATCACAATACAATTGAATAGGTCTTTTGACTTGTACCTCCAAATCTCTCAATAATCCAAAGATCCATGTGATCTCACATGTAGTTTTAGCCATAGATATGTATTCAACTTTTGTTGACGAAAGGGATATCGTAGACTGTCTCTTTGAGATGAGAGCTCTTCTAAGTTTTATGCAAAAACCAGTAAGAGACTTTCTTGTCATTGGATATGTGCCCCAATCAGAATCACAATAGGCTGTGATATCTAAATCAGCATTTCGTGGTAAAAAAAAGTCCAAGGCTAAGACAACCTTTTAAATACTTTATTACATTTATTGCTGCATCCATGTGACTATTTTGGTCCATGCATGAATTGGCTGAGGATATGTATTGTGTAGCTGATATCTGGCCGCGTCAAAGTGAGATAAATGAGACATCCCGCAAATCTCTGATAACGAGATGCATCTTCTAATGGTGGGTCTATTTATGTCGCTAACGCCACTTTATCATACTATTGAGTGGTGAGTTTTGAATTTTGCTCGACACGGATGGCACTTACCTTGCATCCTGACAATCTAGAATCTAATACAAGTTCAAGAACATATTTCCTTTAGATGAGAGATATTCCTGTTGGAGATCTTGCAATTTCAATCCCTGGGGAATATGTGGAAATTTTTTATGCGGAAATATTTTTTGAGATGTTCTTTGAGGTTTTTAATAGAAGCTTCATCATTTCCTGTGATCATAATGTCATCAACATAAATAATGAAGGCAATGAAGGAATTACCTCTGCGCCTTAAGAAGAATGCATAATCATGTTTTGATTGGAGGAAACTGATACTTGTAAGTGCTTTTGTGAATTTTTTATTCCACTGTCTGGATGCCTATTTTAATCCATATAGGGACTTCCATAAACGAACATACAATATTATCCTTCTATCATTGAAGTCCTAGAGGAAGATCAATATAAATTTCTTCATTAAGGTCACCATGAATAAAGGCGTTATGCACATCCATCTATGAGAGGAAGATCCATATAATTTTTTTCATTCCACTGTCTGGATGCATGTTAGTATTGTAGTAGGTGTAAGAATGATGACAAAGTTTGGATCTATGAGAGGAAGATCTTCTTCAAGGAATCTGTGTAATTGTGTCTGTGAAGAGCTAGGAACTGCATCTCTATATGGAAAAGTATTTTCATGAAAAATAACATCCCCAGATACTAGGAATGTCTGAGTGGCAAGATCATAGAGACGATATTCTTTTTGGAGCATAGAATATCCCATGAAGACGCAAGGAGTAGTTCTAAGCCCAAATTTGTCAATAGTCTCCCAACAACTTTTGAGTAACATAGGCAGCCAAACACACAAACATGGCTAAGATCAGGTGTTTCCAAAGAGAATCTCAAAGGGTGTCTTACCATGAAACACCTTGGATGGCATACATTGATTAGGTAAGTAACGATGACCACACATTCGCCCCAAAAGGAAAAAGTTATGTTGGCTTCGTTTTTAAGGGCACGGACTACTTTTAATAAGTGTAAATGTTTGCATTCAACTACTATGTTTTGTTGAGGAGTATAAGTACAGGAACTCTCATGTAAAATGCCAAGGGATAAAAAGAGAGAGGAACAATTATGATTGAAAAATTCTTTCGCATTATCAGAACGAATCCTTTGAACAGGTGTACAAAATTGAGTTTTGACCATGGCTAGAAAGTCCCTAATGTGAGTGGTGGTTTGGGCTTTGCTTTGCATGAGAAAGACCCACGTGCTACAGAAAAAATCATCGACAATAGTAAGGAAGTACCTAGCCCCATCATGATTTAGTCTGTGATATGGATCCCAAATGTCTAAGTGGATTAGTGCAAAAGGATGTTTGGTTGTAGTGGTGCTAATTGGGAATGTATTTCGGGATTGTTTGGGTAGAGGGCAAATTTGACATTTTAGCTATGGAAGGAAGCATTGTGACCCAGTCTTTGATGTAAAATAAAAGGACTTTTATTATTATTTGTATTACAAGAAATTTTATTGGGTGTAACACATTTTAATAAATTGGAAAAGACAATAGAAGAGACATCAAGAGTCCAATAGTAAAGACCGTTATTGACCCTACCCAAGCCCATTAGTTTCTCAGTCAAAGGGTCTTGAAATTCACATTTGGTAGGTAGAAAATGTAAACAATAGTCATTATCTTGACAGAGTTTAGACATAAAAATAAGATTGAAATGAAATGCCAGAACACATAATACATTTTTAAGTACTAAAAAGTCAGTTAAATAAACAATGTCTATGTGCATGGCAGGGGCAATATTGCCATTTGGCATACAAACAAAAGTGCTAGTGGTATTTATGGTATGGGTATGGAAAAATTTTGGATTGCAAATTATGTGGTTAGTAACTCCTAAATCAATTATCCAAACATTATTTGTAATAAGATTAAGACAGTAAGATGTACTGTGTAGGAGGATGTTGATGTCTTTGGGTGTTGTTCAACATTTGTAGGAGCTCAGTGTATTGCTTTTGGCTGATCAAGAGCACTGAGACAGGATCTCCTGAAGAATTGCTAGATACTTGATGCACTGAGGGGTTCCATTTTTCTCCTTGGTGGGGTGCCCATGAAGCTTTCAACAGTGATCCTGATTGTGATTTTGGCGTTTGCAATAGTCACAATAAAATTTGGGCTTGCCTTGTTTGGAAGATCTGGGCCCATGGTAATCATTTGACCCATTTGATGAAGACCTGGGCCTATGATAGCCATTTGACCCATTTGATGAGTTTGGGCTGGCATAAGAACTAAAGGAGGAAATAAGACCAAGCCCATTAGCATTATTTGACCCGGTTGACTCTTGGATTGATTGTGAGCCGTTGGATGAGTTGAATGAATCTCAGCCACCCATTTTCCCATATAAAAAATTATTTTCAACCATTTGCAAACCTAGCCGTTGGAGAGCTACTTCAGTTGAGAGAGAATGGTGAGGCTATGATGCTTGAGTGTGAGCGCCAGTGAGTGCCAAGGTGTCTCCTCCTGAGAACCATCGACAACTTGCCGTTGGCTTTCCTCTTGGACTGCTAATTGGAAAGTTCGACGAAGAGAGGGTGGTGGATTGGATGCGAGCATCTAAGTGTGAAAGGACAAGTAGCTGTCGTTGAGGCCAGGCAAGAACTTGCTCAAGCGCTCTTGGTCTCAGATCCGATGATATTGTCGGAGAGTCCAGCGACCCAAGAAGGGTCTCTTCAACAGCATCCAAGGCTTTCCAAATGGAACTGAGTTTGTTGAAATATGTCATGATTGTCATGTTGTTCTGTGTGGTTTCCGAGAGACTTTACTGGAGAGTGAAAGTCTAGGCAAGATCTAACTTATCATACATCTATTTGATGTATGCTCATGTTTTGCTTGCTAGATCAATGGGTGGCAAGCCGGCGACAACCTCCGATGAGATGCAATTGCTGATCCAAGCACAAATAAGCATATTACATCTGTTTCAATGGCGATGGAGGTAGTCGTCGATGGGTGGTTGGGTGTTGGTGTCGTCGATGGGTTGTTGGGTGTTGGTGTCGTCGATAAAGCTCTCTTTATCCTTTGTGATGAAAGCACAACAAAAATCCCTTGCCCAAGTGGCATAATTCTTAGATCCCGTCAAGATTTGCTTGATGAGAACGATGTCAGGGCCATCGAGAGCCGGTGCGTATAGTATGTTGCCTTGTTTAGGGCGGCAGTTGGCGACTGGAAACATGTGGAAGTTGAAGGGGATTTGGGTCGGGTAGGGATTTGAACCCGATTGGGAATCCTAACCCGATGTGGGACCTAGATAACCAAATAGGTATGGGAAGTAGTTGGGTTATGGGTTTGAGCTGATTAAGGTTGGGCCTGTTTGATTTTGTATTGGGGTTAGGCCGGTTGGGAGTGGGCCTGTTTAGTTTGGGTTTGGGCCTATTTGATTTGGTGGGATGGAGCTTGTTTGGCCCACGGTGGGGTTTGTTGGGGTTGGGCCTATTTGGTTTGGTGGAGGTTGTGTTTGAGGAGGCTGTTTTGTGGGGTTTGGAAGTGTGAAATTTGTGGTTTGATTGTCTGCCATCTGTTTGCAAAAAAATTGAAAAATTAACCAAGGTTTCTATTTGATTTTAATTTTTTTTAAGGGAAAAAAAAGAGAGGTTTTGATGGACTGGAAGCTTAAAAAAAGTGCTTTGATACCATGTCAGAAGCTAAAGGAGAAGAATGTCAAAAACTAAAGAACAAGAATTACTGGAAGAAGAAAGAAGCAAAAGAAGCAGAGTATCTGCCAAAGACCATCTAAGAGAGAAGAGAAAAAAACCAAAATAATCAATTCTGTATTTTATATTATGTATTATGTTCTGTACAAAAAGACTATTTATACAAGTGTAAGAATCTATAAAAGGCAATCACATATTATGCCTTAATGCCACAATCTCACATAATCAGGGATGTAATTAGCATAAAATCTGCTATGTAATAATAACCTAATATTAGTTCTCCTAAATAAAAATATTAATATAGTAAAACCTATCTATAGTCGTAATGGTGGAATTAACCAATTTTATTATTATGAGGAGGTTATAACTTAATAGAGGTGTAATTACAAAAATTATTGGTTTGATTTTTGATTTTATCATTCATGTTTTAGTAGTATAGTATTAGGATTTCAATTCATATTTTAGTACTTTTAGGATTTCGATTCAGCGCTTTAATTGCCTACTTTTGAAACGGATAGAAGATTGTATCTTAGAACTAGCAAAGATAAGTGTCATTGATGAAATTGTAAATGTAGTTGATGCATGGTCAATTGATGTGAAGCCACATACAATTGCCGATGCTTTTAAGCATTACAAAATTAGGACTCCCAATCTCGATGAATTGCAAGTTACAAATGAAATGGATAAGGAGAATAAAAGAGTCATTGTAAAATTGAGGGATCAGATTCGACAACTTCACTACACTAATCGAATGGATATTAATGTCTTCTTCAATCATCCAAATGAGCAACGAATCGTGTCTAGTTTAACCAAAGAATAAATCATTGCTGCAATTAGACAAGAAGAGAAAGAAAATAATCCTAAGGATGATAGTACAGAAATACAAAAGGTTTCGTGCCATGAAGTTCTAAACATGCTTGAGAAGCTAAAAATATTTTGGCTTCAATAGGAATATGTCCATGTTAGCGAGTTATTACGTACTCGCAAGGTAAAAGATGTGGTAACAACTCTAAAACATAAATATTTGTCCAAACAACTTTAGATAAATATTATATTTCATCTTAAACCTTTACTGTAACATAACATATATTTTTTTGTAATATACATATAATTATTACTATGTAAAAGCAACTTTCCTTAAGACGGGAATTAGAAAAATTATAACTTATTACAATATGGAGTTTATTCTTATTTATAAGTATCCCAAATTGGGACTAGAATTTTTTATAACTGTTTAGAGTTTATTCCTATATAGAGTATCACTATAGAGAGGTTTTACTGTATCTTCACAGTTTTCTCTCTATAAATATTTCTAATCAGCTTGTGTAAAAAAATGTCACAACTTAGAGTCGCCATTGCAAAAATTCTTCCAATTTCATCTTCCCAAATCGCCATTTTCTTCCTCATTTTATTTTTCACAATAAACTTCGTCTCATGAGAGAATTATGGCTATGCAAAAACCCTAGACCAAAAGCTCTTTGGCCTCAAAAATGGAAAACTTAGCCATTTTTGCATGCATTGGCATGACATCGATAGTGGCAGCAACCCTATCGCTGTGAGAGTGGTGTCACTGCCTTCAAATTCATTGACAATATTTGGTACAATCAGCATGATTGATGATCCCTTGACAGAAGGGCTAGAATTGAGCTCAAAATTGGTGGGGAAGACTCAAGGGATGTATGCATGGGCTGCACAAGAAGAATTTGGCTTGTCAATGGTTATGAATTTTACTTTTGTGGAAGGAAAATATAATGGTAGCACCATCACAATTATAAGGAGGAACAAGGTGTTTCCAAACGTTCGAGAGGTGCCGATGGTAAGAAGTAGTGGGCTTTTGCGATTTGCTAGAGGTTATGTTCAGGCTAGCACTCACAAACATGATCTTGCCACAGGAGATGCTGAACTTGAGTACAATATTTATATGTTACACTATTGATTAATTAATTAATTGATGCTAGCTTAATCTTGACAATTTAATTTTGGATTATGTTTTAGCTTCCTTTTGATTGATTTTAATAAGCTAAGTAGTCTTTGGTTTGAGCAGTTAATTTTGTAATAAATTGGATTTATTAATTAATATTAAATGTTTATTCCAATAGAGTAGAGTTGGGCATTTGGGACCGGGTTCAAAAACCCGGCCCTAGTAGGCCTGGTTCCAAAACCCGGTCCTAGTAGGCCTGGTTCCAAAACCCAGTCCTAGTAGGCCTGGTTCCAAAACCTGACCAAGCCTAACGAGGAGGGCCCGGTCCCTCCATTGGGCCCTCCTCCGCCCAAACCCTTTTAGTTTTTTTATTTTTAGCCTTTAGATAATTACTAAAATCCCCTATAAATTTTGAAATAAACATAAATTGTAAGGGTTAAAATAAAATTTTACAAAATTTAAAAAAAAAAATTCTTTAATAACTGTTGGCAGTAGCCAACTGTCATTTTGTTTCCCCTCCCACAACCCCCCCCCCCCCCCCCCCCCCCCCTCAACTACACTATAATATCCCCCAAATCTCTCATTTTTTCTGCACCACTCAATCTCTCTACTCTCTATTCCAAATCTCCAATCAAATGGCTGAATCGCTACCTACAAATGGACATTTCTTACATGACGATGAAGGAGAAACGTGAGATCGATTTGCTTCAATGGTGGAACCAACATGAAAGTCGATTCCCCATTGTAGCTCAAATGACACGTGATATTTTATATGTGCCGGTTTCAGCAATTGCATCCGAGTCAGCATTTTCAACAAGTGGCCGGATTGTTGAAGACATAAGATGCTCTTTAACCGATGAGATGATTAAAGTGGTAACATGTTTACAGGATTGGACTCATGTAGAAAGAAGACTACAATAGCACCCTAAAGATCCTGAACTACTCAAACTCTTTAGGAACACAGATTTTAATCATTTAAATATTATTGACGATGAAGATGAATAATTTAATAAAAAAAATATTTAATTATTTCTTTATGAAGCGTGAATGTGTGATTGTGTGAATATTACATTTAAGTTAAAATTAACTATTATTTTATTATTATTTTTAAATAATTAAAATTTTAAAAACTTACTAATCTACCCCTAAAAATTACTAAAGCCCCCTACATAATTTCATTTCGCCCCTAAAATATAAAAAAAAAAAAAAAGATAAAGGGGAAAAAGAAATTTTGCAGACCCATAGGACTGGTCCAGGTCCTAAACTTGGTTATAGGCCTGGGACCGATCCTAGGCCCATGAGCGACTAGTCCCAAATGGGACCAGTCCCAAACGGGCCCAGGCCCAGGTCCGCTTGGGACCAGTCCTTGACCAGGTCTACAATAGAGTGATGTTATTCAAGCCTCACTCAAATTCTTTGTAAGCTCCAACATTGATTTTAAAAAAAATTAAATTTTAATAGATTTTAATTTATTCCAAAGTTATCATTTTCCTAATCCTTTCAACTTTTTTCTCTTCTCTCTTAGTCTCTTATTTATTGGTTTATTGAGAAGTAAATGAAACTTTTATTCAAAAATGAATTTGTGGTAAGGAGTAGCTATGAAACTTTACAAATTTCAACGCCTCTTTCCTTCACGTTTTTTGACATAATGGTTCATTTGATGAAGCAATGTTATCTAAATAAAAAATAATCATGCTAATATAAAATTATACTATTAGAATTTTTGTTTCTAGGAAATTGAGCTCTTGGCAAATATAAAATTTATGTCAAGAAACTCATCTCAAGGGCTCACTTGCGAAAGAGATATATATATATATATATATATATATCAACAACTTCGTACATGCAAAGTGCTAAGTTGACCCCAGAAATTACACGTGATTAATTGATTTAGATTTGGGACAAGGTTAATAACACAAATGAATGCAAAGATTGTATGATAAATAAGACAGAGGGATTTTTATAGTAGTTCGGATACTTAAAGCGATTCCTACATCCACTATTTCTTTTATATAAATGTGTGTTGCAAGAAGTTGCGTACAACGAATAGTGAGAAAAGGTACAATAACTGCATATTCAGAGAGAATATCAAGTCAGTCTTTTTCTCATAGGTTGCCTTTGCTACAGATTGTTATGAAAGTAAAGATCCCAAATTTGAGAGGGGTATTCCTCTATTTATAGTTGATGAATTCAAGGTAATGATTACAAGTCTGCAAGTGAGTAGATGTCGTGCAAGTCCTTCCTTGCTTCCCATTAGCTGATAACTTAGGAAATATCCTCAAATTATCTGAGGTTTAGACAGGTGTGCGGTCCCCATTCACTCATAGACAAAACCTAAATTCATTGAATTGGTGACAGTCGTATTCTCTCTATCTTAGGACGACGTGGCAGCTCCTAAATGGCACAAAGTCTTCCTGAATTTTGATTGGTGTCCATTGATGTAAGCTTACGCCAGTCTTAATTTTTTAGGCATAATAGAAGCGTCCCAATTCTTAAGGTTCAATAATTGGAACTTGAGAACTTCATGATTATGTCGCAACCTGACTTGTCTTTAAAAATGCTTGCTTGAGCAAACAGCTGAGAATAGTCACATCGTTGCAGACAACCTGAAGCTGGCTGCTTGATCTAACTAACGAACTGAGTGTAGGTCATGATTTGGATGTTGAGAGTTACATAAGCGACCTGACTTGATTTTCTATTAAGGTCCGATGACCTGAGCTTGATCTTGTTCAGTGCTATCAAAATGTGCTTTAAACTCTAGCTAAAATATTCAGGGTTTGAGTCACCCCTACATGCAACACCTTTACAAACTCAAAGGGCAATGGATATCCTTGAGGTGAAAACAAATGGAGAAGAAAGCTAGAAACCACTGGGCACCTCAGTAGGTCCTAAAAAATGTGATATGATTTACCATCACAACAGAAGAGATTAAGAAGGCAATAGACAAGTACATGATCTAAGTGGAAATGCACTGATACAGGTCTCATATGGAACAAGATCCTCCTAAGGAAATGGTTACGATCTCGGAAGCCATTTTCAAACGTGGAGTGAGGATATCCCTCCACCCTTATATCAGGTTGATTCTCGACCACTTCCAAGTCGCGCTATTCCAGCTGACGCCAAATGCATATATGATAGCGGTCGCTATGTATATTGCATTTGGCGAGAACAACCTTGGGGAGCCAAAGAAGTAGGTGCTCGCTTGCACCTATTACTTAAAGAAAAGCAAAGATAAAGACTAATACTACCTCTCCAAGAGATCAACGATCGAGAGAGAGATATTTGATTACCCCAACAACGTGGGGCTTATGAAACCAAATATTTTTTCTTCAAGTGCGATGGATTCTGTAAATTTAAGGAACTGAGTAGGTTTTCCTTTCAATTTTCAGATCGTTCGTACCCATAACTTGTTCATTTAGGTATTAAGCAAATAGACTCTCTGTTTCTTTGCAGAAAACAAAATGACTAGGTTATCGGTGCTAACTGATTGCAACCACATCAAAGCATTTGGTCGACTGCCCAATCAAAGTCACGATGCAAAGCTGCTCATGACAACTATAAATCTTTGAAGATAAGGATTTTTCACTCCTGACACATATTTAGATGGTTCAGCTTATAAGTTTTTCTGAAACAGAAATAACCCAAGTCTTTTTACAAAAGGTGACTGTTTTTGCTGATGTGTCTGTATGCCATGCCACCAAAGAAAACAAAGATGTCGAAGAAGTCTGCAGGATTTGCATTCCCCAGGCTAAATCCGACCAAAACAGCTAAAGTGACCTCCAACGATATCCCTCCAATGAAGACACAACCTAGTGCCAAAAGGCAACCACCTGCTAAGCGACATGAGAAAGCTCCCCAGCCTGCTACTGCTCACTCGGCGAAGAAGAAAACCATGGTCTCGAAGACTAAAAAGAAGGAAACAATACCAACCAAAGAAGAAACTGAATCAAAATCAAAAGGCTTCGAGATACTGTCAGGTGGATTATAATCCTATCAACCTCTTTCTTCAAAGGTCGCCCTACAAAGCACCCCAAGAACTTCACAAGTGGGCAAAGGCACCTCGCAAGCAGGTGAAGGCATGGCCAAAGGTCCTTGCCACAAAGAGGTACGACCAATCTATGTTGAACCTCTTAGGGCAAATGCCATATCATTTAAGGTCACCAGTTTTCACCCTTTTGGAATGCCAACTGGCATCCACCTTTGAGAGGTACATGGCCTCCCGACCTACCGACCTGATGGCCACCGCACTTCAAATGCAAAGTCAGGTAAGACAACTCTTTCTCTTCAAGAACTTTTTCTTGTAAGTCGATTCTTTAGTTTTCTTTAAGAAAAAACTAACTCTTTATTCCTTTGTTTGCAGTTTTTGCTAGCCCTAAATGTGGCTCACAACAAAATGAAGATCAACTCCTCTGGTAAGCATCATGAAATGAAGGAGGAGAATTCCAAGTTAAAGAAAGCCCTTGCAACTTCAAACCAAACTACAAATGCTGCCCAGGTTCAAGCGAACATATACCTAACAGAAAGGAATTCTACTTTACAAACAGTAGATTTCCAGAAGACCAAGCTCCTAAAGAAGGATGACAACAACAAAGAGCTCTAACTGACGATAGCGAAGCATACTAAAGAGTTGGGCCAAAGAGAAAAGGAGCCGCAAGAAAACTTAGAACGTAAGAAAACAATAGAAAGACTCAATCTGAGTCATGGGAGAACTCAGAAAAGGACAAAAGATCAAGAGAGATAGATCTCGAGATAGCTCACGAGCAAATCACTTCGCCAATTGAGCAAATAAAGCAATTAAACTTTGAGGTGGAAACGAAAGTTACTCATTAGGCATGCAAGCTATTCATAGTCTACGACCGAACAACCCTAACTTAGACATTTCCAACCTCCCTGAGGAATACCAAGTTACTCTTACTTCACTGATGTCGATAGAAGAGCAAGAAGAACAAGAATCTCCCCCAGTGGAAGATTAGCAAAAGGCAGAAGTCCTTGAAGATCAAGCAAATGACCTAGAG